AAAGATCGAAAAAAAGCAAAGTCTAAGTAAATTCTCCCTACGTGCCGTCTTATTCAAACTGACCAATGAGCGCGCGCGATAGATTAAAAATGACGGTAGCGTGTTTTGATACTCTCATCAAACATGGTTTTCGACCAATCATAGCGCGCGTAGTATCCCAAATATTTTATAATATAAAATCAAATAATATCATAAGGATTTGTATGGGAAAACATTTTCCCATGCAAATGTTTATAAATATTCCATTTTATATCTAATTCCATTTATCTTAAATCAACATTATGAACTAAAACTTCGCCCTCTTACTGATGTTGAGCTGCTCTTTTCATTTCTAAAGTTCGTTTTCACACGACTGACGTTTTAAGGGAGGTAGGACGTTTGAATGATGGCGGCATTTGAGTCCCACTACCAAGATGTATCAAGACAATCGCCATCACGTCCTATTAGTGAAAAATTTACTCAAGCATAAACTTATATTATCATATGCAAACAAAGGCTAGAGGTCAAAAATAGGAGCACATCATAACAAGAACATACCTACAGCTGTCTCCGAGACTCTTAACAAACGAGTATGTTTACGATACTTTTTACGGCGTCGTTATTTTATGGATTCATTCTGTATGGAGTTTCGAGTCAAGAGGGCCATCAATATTGCGTAGTGGGTGCTGGTCCGGGAGGTAAGTTCTGCTGCATCTTCAAAGGCAACATATAGTTGCTATTGATTTGGGTATGAGAAACAAATTCCAGGTCTTTCATAAGGTATAATATTGAAGCTCCTTTTTGAGGAGAAAACTAAAGAACCCAGAAAAATCTTCAAATTGAGGGAAAGAACTTATAAATTAACTCTACTCACATGTGATGCCGCTTAGGAATCAAACACACAATGATGTTTTACGAGCTTTTGCTTACACGGGAAGCCATTTTAATATTACTTCATGTCGCACCGTGTACGGCCAAAGTCAGTACCGTATGTAACCCACTCATACGATTWAAAAAAAACATTCTTATGGGAAGCCATTTCCATGTTACTTCATGTCGCACCGTGTACGGCCGTAAGCCAGTAGTATGTTTAATTCTCAATCATACGATAACCATTCTTATGGTAAGCCATTTCAATGTTACGGTATGTCGTACCATGTACGTGCTGTAAGTAAGTACCATATCTTTCCCACTCATGATAACCATTCTTATGGGAAGCCATTTCAATGTTATGGCATGTCGTACCGTGTACGTGCTGTAAGTCAGTACCGTACGTTTCCCACTCATACGATAACCATTCTTATGGGAAAGCCATTTCAATGTTACGGCATGTTGTACCGTGTACGTGCTGTAAGTCAGCACCAATTATTTCCCACTCATACGATAACCATTCTTATGGGAAGCCATTTCAATGTTACGGCATGTCGTACCGTGTACGTGCTGCAAATGAGTTTCCAACGCATACGATAAACACAAAACTGTCACTTTTCCATCCGATTCCTCCTAATATCATAATTTTCTGTCGTCTTTATGTAACATTGGTGGTTTAACGATTTAGTATAATTTTATCATTTTTATAGCTGTAATATCACCAAGGCTTTGAAACATCAAATACTAGACTCTGTTATGTAACCTCATTTATAAAAGTAAAAAAGGTTCACATTTCTGCCCAGTTTTCTTTAGTAAGACTCTCAAATGCTTGAAAATAACTCGTAAAACTGAATGTTGAAGTTGCTACTATCCTTGTTTTCCCCCAAAACTAAGAAAAAAAGCTAGTTTATTTTATACTCTGGGATTTATCTTCGTTCTTTAGCAATGCTTTTAAAATTCTGTGCAAACAAACTTTGTTTTGGTAATTTTAATGACAATAGATATGAAGATTTCATTTTCAATTTCTTTAGTTTAAGTAAACAAGGGCTTAAAAGAACGTTAGCGCCGCCGGTTCCTAGTTAAAAGACCTTGAAATCGTTTCAGATTTCGCTGGCGTCAAAGTCATAATTCTTCGTTTGCAATAGACGTCATAGCCGCCATGTTGGAAGAATTTGACAAAAGATTTTTCAATGAATTCTTTTGTTATATCTTCCAACATGGCGGACATCCCTTTTGTTATTGTGCTCTCTTGGGATTGATTGCAAACCAAGAGTAGTTTGATCTTAATCGTTAATATTCATGACACGAAAAAGAACAACTGAGTCCAAGGTTTACTTACATAAGAAGTAATTAAATACCGAGGATGATGGAGGCAATAAGCCTACCTTCATACTAAATCTTACTTGACAGCTCTGTAAAAACCACTCAAAGACCAATTTAGGCCCCGTCCACACGTGTCCGCAAATTTTTGTGTCCGTATCCTCAAATTTTACGGATATGTGTGGACGGTGAAAACGATTCGAATACGCTGCGTGTGGACGCAAACATTTTCGTATCAAAAAAATAATTTGCGGATACAAAAATTTCCGGATACGCGTGGACGGGGCCTTAATAACGTATATTTACTAGTTATTTTTGTCTACTGACAGGAACTATTTGAAACTAATTCTATTGAAAGGCACGCATGCGCAATCATTTTCCCCAATTTATTTGACGACTTTATTTTTAGGCCTTCAGATTGGCTATTTTCTTGAAAGAGCTCAAAGGGATTATGTCATCTTTGAAGCAAACAGCGTAGCAGGTACGTCATCATTTCACAGATCTCACTCGCTTTATACGTTTTCTCAAACCTTGTATACTTCAATCTTTTACTCTTTTACTCCGACGAAGGACTAGCGTCCGAAACGTCTGTAAGTTTTTTCATCTTTTCACGGTGTATAATTTACCCTTTTATCATTACGGTTTCATTAGAAACACCGACGCAGCTCACACTAGTTTTTAGCTAGTTATCCTTCTTTACTTCAATCTTCGTTCCCAGAGCCCTTATTCTTACTGCGCATGCTCGAAAAATAACTATTTCGCCGTGCATGCGCAGTAAGAGATAAGGGCTCTAGAAAAGAGATTGGGTGTACTTTTTTCAATGTTATTAGAAATTCCGAACTCCCACTCAATTGGCTTGTAATATTTTAACGATTTAAGGTTAACTTAGCTTCCTTATGTTATAGGGTCATTTTTCCTCAAGTATCCGTGTCACAGAAAACTAATATCGATAAACAAACGATTCACAGGTGCGTATAAAGAAACCAAGATGGTGGCTTCAGATCCTACCCATCATGCTTTGCCTATATTAATAACGTGTTTTACAATATACCTTTTTCGAGTTCAAAATTATCGCTATGTTCCTTGATTACAGACTCATTTACTCAGGGTTAGCATCGTATCATTGTTCAAACATTCACAAATACCAACGATAAAAATACAAACACTTTGAAATAACACATAAATATTCTACACAAAAGCAAGTCTAATCCTGAGCAACAGATAACTCGAAACTAGAGTATGCGGCTATTTCAGTCAAAAAATGTTGAATACTGCATACTGAATAGTGCATTCCAAGACCAAAGGGCATTGTAGGTCATAGTGACATTCTCTAAAGTAGGATTAATAATGATTATTTATTCTATTTTTAGCGTATTCCGTCTGAAACAATATACTAACTACATGTAGACAGTTAATTGCTGTATATTTACTTTTTACTTTAAATTAACGAGACCCAAATGCCCTTTGGTCTTGGAATAACACTATTCAGTATTCAGTATTCAGTATTCAGTATTCAACCTTTCTTGAAATAGCTGTACGCATGCATGTGGCGTGACCTTAAAACTGACTTTAAGATTTACTTTGACAGGGCGACTGAATAAAGAATTCAATCTCCGCCATGACTGGAATTCCTTGTTAAGTGATGACGATTCTCTCTTGTTGAAGCATTATTCGGACAAGTTTTATCCTGATGCTGACGACTTGGTAGGAATAAAGTTATATTCAAGTCATTGCAAATAAGTAATGTTTCAAATACGAGTTGCTGTATTCTATTGGCGTTTCAAAATCCGAGTGGAATTTCAAATGCCGAGGCGTATTTTCGACGAGAATTTTAAAACCCCAATAGAATACACTGGCGAGTATTTGACACAACATCATATACTCTTTTTGTTATGTTTGTTTTTATTTCAAAGTTCTAGTACTTTGAAATGTGTGCGGTCGTATTTGATGGGGGTTTCAAACTACTGCACGTGGTACAAATAAGAAACCCTGATTGGTCGATGAGCTCATGAATTATTAATGAGTATAAGATTGTGACATCGACGTCATCTTCATATTACTATCATCAGTATCATTATTTAATCATCATCATTACCACTACTACCACCACCACCATCATCGTCATCATCAGGCATCACCACCACTGCATCATCATCGACACTATGATCATCATCAACACCTACATTCATCATCAACATCCCCATTACAGATCACTATTACCACCACCACAATCTTATCATCGTTATCATCCCCATCACCATCAACATCACCAACATTATGATCGACACCATCAACACACCATCATCATCATCATCTTCACCACGATCATCATCACCTCCACCATCATCATCACTACCATCATTAACATCACTACCATCATCATCGACATCATCGTCATCATCATCGACATCATCGTCATCATCACTTCTATCATGTTCTGTATAGTCGCGTACTCATCAGAAAAAATCTGTTAACATTTGGTCAGCTACGATTTCAAGCTCACGCCCCCTCATGTGAGCCCATACAAATTATGTCTCAAAAACACGGTTTTTGGATCTTTTCTCAAAATAATGATTATCTAAGCAAAAAACAGAAGTGGATTAAGTTAATTCAACTATTCACGGACTGTAATATATGGTTTACATTGAATTCTATTGAAAAAAAAACACCGTACTTTTCGAGTTGAATGTACGCTATTGGATGTATTTTACAAGAGAAAATGCATGACATAACCGAGATCAAGCTAGATAATCGTCTCTCCTTGTAAGAACCTGTCAATAAAAACAGAAGTGGATTTGAAAACCCCGGGCTTTTCTGAACATTTTGGTATACAATTCATAGGAATTTGTTAAAGTTTAGAGCCGGATTTTTGCTGATTTTATAAGCTCATACTAACTGTTGGCCTATACATTCGCCTCTTATGGTTTCTTAGGTTTCGTA